GAAAACCTTCCTTATAAAAGAAACAAGATCTAGGAAATATAACATTCTACTTTTAATCCTTATTTGTAGCTTCTTTGTAGTTGTGATGCTAAGGAGATGGAGAACCAATAACCAACGAATTCAACTAAAGAGCCTTTGTCTGGTGACCTGCTGGACAAGACATTACAATTGTCATAAACTTCAAGATAATGCAATCGAGATGAAGATCCTCAAGAATGACATGTTTTTTCTCAGATATATGGCAAGATACAACACGTTTGATATCATGACCTTGGAAGAGACTCCCGATGTTTGGTAATTTTACTAGAGGTAGGAACAACTCTTGATGGTGTTTCAAATATTTTATTTCAAGGAAGTTATAAAGGCCTCAACAATGATCAAATAAGAAAGTGGTCTTCCCGCCCTGATATGGGACACTATCAATGGTTGAGAGGCCTTATCAACTATCTTCAAAGAGAATAAAGTTCTCAATATGTAGCAAATACAATTCGTTGCATCATAGATTTTCTCAACATATGATGACCCCTCCTTGTGGAACTCGTCCCTAAAAGGAAGGGTAATGTCATGGATATATGCATATAAGCTACTGATTATCTATATAAATAGGTAGAAATAAGTAGAAGTAGACAAAAGCAAGTTAATTCTATAATATCTTCTATGAAAGCTTCCCAGAAGCTTTATAGATGCTAATTTGACTTTATAAGTGTCTTTAATTAAATTTTTGGGTTAGAAACGTGGTCAACAAGTTGTCCATGTACCACACATGTTGTCAGCTTGAAGACCAAGTGAATTATGTGGCCCACACATAGAAAAACTTGCCTTATAAGTCAAGGCATGTATCCTACAAATTCAACACACATTGGAGGTCCTATAGAACATCACCACGTACTCCCTAGTTAGATAGTATATATAGAGACAAGAGTGAAGCCCTCTTCACTCTTGTCAACTCCTTTCTTGCTTCTAGTCTAGTTTCAAGAGTTTCAAGTTTTCTTATCTTTTGGCAATAAGCCATTCTAGTCTCTTTTTTAATATATATATACTTCCTTATTTCTATTTTTTTACTCTTTCTTTAACACGGATTTTATTGGTTTATATATCATCTTTTAGTTCATGTCCTTGACAGAATGCCATCCAAGAATTGCTTCTCTATTGCAATTTCCATGCCATCAAACTTTTATTAAGTCTTTTTTTGAAAAACTTGGATTATGAGATAATATGTTTGTATTCAAATTGATAATGTATGTTTGATGCATAACCTCAAAGCCATATTTTTGAAGCAACAAAGCCCACTTAACTAACTTCTTAATAAACTTAATTGACTTTATGAGCCACTTCAAAGGTTGATAGTCAGTTATCAATAAAAAAAATTATTGCATATACAAATAAAATTGGAAGTAAATAATAATCTAATATATTACCAAAGCTTCTCTTTTATAAAATAATTATCTTATATCATCCTTTCATGTCAAGACGGTTCATAATTCTACTTTATTCGAGTTTGAGTATTGTTGGAAAGATCTAATAGCATCTAAACATTGAAATATTAGAGCTCAATCCAAATTTTGCTTCAAAATGTCAAATGTACATTGTTGCCCATGACTCTAAGTCCATAGATGATCCTTGCTTATAATAATAGTTAAAGACTTAGCAAGCAAGCTAAAGTTTTTAATAATTCTTTGGTAGTAATTTGCCAACCTAAGATAAGCTCAAAATTGCAATATATTACTTGGTGTTGAGATTTCTTACAAGGCATTTTTTTTTGCTTGTTGTACACCAAGACTTCTTGAAATAATCATGTCACGTAAGTATGGTAATTTTTCTTAGAAGAATTCATACTTAACATGATGCAAGCACAAACTTTGTTGATGTAATTATTCAAACATTGCTTGTAAATGCCTCCGATGATTTTGTGGACTACTATTAAAAATAATATTATTATTAATTTAGTACATAGTAAATAATAAATTAGATAACATCTAATATTTATCCTTCAAAATTCAATTGGTACGTTCTTGAGGCCAAATAGGAGAAACTTCTAATTATAGAGTTGATCTTTATCATCTTAATCAATTTTCTAAAATGATCTCTTCATCCACTCTTTAATAAGTAATGATAATTAGTAATAACTAGATCTTAAGTTCAAAGAATAATTCTTAAGAGAATCCTATTGCATCAAATAATTCTTCCAGCATTGGCATTGGATATCAATTAGACTTTATCTTATAATTAACTGGATCATATATTTTTCTTTTTCTAATTACTAAAAATATTCTTCTTAGAAGGTATAAATATAGTACAAGCATACTTGCCATTAAAAATTCTAATTAATCTTATATCTAATAATTTTTAATAATAAGCCTAGATGTTAACTTTCTTTGAGATACTAAGCTTGTAAGGTTGTCAAAAGATTGGATAATCATCTTCCAACTAGATGTGAATAGGTTTGTTTCTATAACCTTCAAGGTCTTCAAAATTAAAGGGAAAAAATTGCAATAGAAGCAAATAAAAGCCTCTATCTTTTGTACTTTAGCACTAGTAAGATATGGCTCTAATTTCAATGTCCAATTATCAAAATTTGTAGTTTTTTTAATAAATAAATTCATATCTTTTTAAATAATAGAAATATTAATCATATATTATTTTTTAAATACTATTATATTTAAATATATTTTTAAAATATAATTTTTTTATATAATTATTGTAGTTTTTTATAGAGATTTTTGACAAATTATTCTTATAATTTAAAAATATCAAGAATATATTATTAACACTTCTATTCAACATTTAATATTTTGAAAACATAAAAAAATAAATATATTTCTAATATATATTTTATTATGTATATATAATTAAAATAAAATATTAAATTAATTATTTTTTACATATATTTTTAAAAATTAACAACATAAATTCAAAAATTATATATTTTTCAAATATTATCCTTTTTAAATATTTTATAATTAATCCTTTTTAATTTTTTATATTTAGAAATTAAATATAATTTAAATATAGTTCATTTATAAAGTATCTTTATAAGGTGATATATATAAGTATTCAATTTTAGACTCTTTTATCAAAATTGTCTGTAATGGATTATAAGTTGAAAAGATATGCATAACTAAATGCTTAATAGAATAATAAAATTTATTGATACAAGATGATTATATTGATGATATTAGAACAAAAATCATTCAATTTTTTTAAGTATTTATAAAAAATTAATGCAAATACAATTGTGACACATGATAGAAGAAATAATAAGAACATACATCTATTAGAATATCTTGATGCATTAAAGCCTCATTGAATATCTCAATCAAAATTAGAACTCAAAATTAGAAGTTCTTTTATGTTATTGAGAAATATTATATTACATCTATGCTTTTGCAATTGTTTTTGATTAGTTATTACAAGACTTACAAATTATCTTATTAAAATAAGATTTCTAAGAACATTATTGTCTCTATCATCAATAAAAATTCTTTATAAATTCTAATTGAAGCAATTTCTAATAAATCTTGCAAAGGCAATAGCCATTAATAAATCTGAAGGCCAATCGATACAAGTTCATGAATTTAGTTTGAAAGAAATATATAAGTTTATTACATATTTTCATAGTTTTATAAATAAACATATATTTTTTCAAGAATAAAGATATTTTTACTTAACTTAAAGCATTAGTAATATTAAATTCTATTTATTATTTATATATACAACAAATATATATATATATATATATATATATATATGCTATTGTCATCTCCCACCTATCACAAGCTACTTTTGTTCAATACCTTCCAAATCAATCAAATTTTCTTTCTTCAATACCTTTCAAACCATTTGATTGAACAAAAAAATTATTGGAATAATTATAAATAAATAAATAAAAATATGCAAAGTCGGTGGGGGGTTGTGGTAGCAAATAAATAAAAATTGTGATGGCATCAGTTGTACCATACAAATTATGATACATTTATAATCACAAAATTAGAGGGAAAAAATGAAACAATTATTATAATTTAGCAATACTATATCATTCTATATCATCATTAGTATTCACTTAACATAACATTATTGGAGTACTCTACGGTATATGGCACCTGTTTCCACTAGTGAGTGACTGCGTGCGTACATATATTTATATATATATGTACATATAAACAAACAAACTAATGTGATAGTCCCAGATACCACCAGCACTGCTCCGACGTGAAATCGGACGCAGCGAGGGGGACGTCGGGTTCCGGGAACAACGCGATGGACACCGCGTGAAGGTGCGACGAGAGGGTGCGGGACCATATTAATATATATATATATATAGATGGGCCGCTTGATCCCCAAAGTCTCCGCGCGCTACTGGTCCTGTCCAAGCATCGTCGTGTACTTCCTCGGCGCCAGTGAGAGTGCACATACATACCTCGACTCTCTCTTCCTGTGGTAAGCGGATCTCTCCTGCAAATGCAATGCAACAGGCCGGGATTTGGCTTCGTCACCCAACTCTGCCGGTACCGGCACTTGGTATCCGTTAAAAGAGAGACAAACAGTTGAGCTCTGTAAACGGGGAGAGTCAGTCGTTATTCCAAATTACCGACTGACTGGACGATGCGACGGTGTGCTCAGTCTTCGCCGCGGGGGGACCCACGCGCTGTTGCGTTTCTAGGAGCTGAAGGTTCACGCGCTGTCGCTTGTGGGACAAGCCCTGGTGCTCACTGGATGATTCGTATATCAGGAAATGGCTCTCAAGCTCCAACTTGGTTCAGTTCCTCCACTGGGATCTTCACGATGAGACTGACGTGCCCCCATTGCATGGCTGGTTGTTGATCTCGGGTTGTTCAAGCGATTTCGGAATGTTTGGAGGGCGTGTGCATTCTGAAGGTGGAGGTGGATGACAAAGAGAGGGTGGGGGGCACTGCAGGGGCAGACAGGGAAGGGAAGAACAGGCTGGGTGGCGTGGTGGAGGCGAGGTTTAGAAGTTTGGAGGTAGGAAAAAGGTGATCGCAATGGTTGGAGCTTCTTGGAACAAGTGTCGACGAACATCGTCTCTTCGGTCGTCGCCTAGAACTGCGGGAAGAAAAACCAAGAATGAATTACCTGCGTCAGCGTCTTCATCGTCGTCGTCGTCGTCTTCGTCCTCTCACTCACCGATGCGACGTCGGGATGCGCTGAGAAACATGGTGCTCAATGTGGTTCGCCCGTCGCGGACGGCTGCTGCTGCGGCGGATCACCCTGTGAGTTACCGGGGAGTGAGGTACCGGGAGGGACTGAGTAAGTACGTGACGGAGATTCGACCCACGAGGAGCTCGAAGAAAATTTGGCTCGGGACTTACGACACGGCAGAGGAAGCTGCGCGCGCGTTTGATATCGGGAATTTGTGTTGCAAGAAGAATCTGCCGCTCAATTTCGCGGACTCGCCGCGCTTGCTGAAGAGAATATCGTCCAAGCTGTCCGAGGAAGAGTGTCGAAGCGCCATCGCTAAGCTTGCCAAGGAGGTGGCGCGAGTGGTAGTAATGAAGTCGGCTTCAGAAGGCGAGACGACAAACCAGGAGGAGGTCAGTCGGGGGGCAGCGATTAAAGCCCGCAGATCAGTGGAGAGCACGACTAAAGATTCTCTACCCAAAACAGAACCTCAAATTCAGCGCCTCGAAGCTTGTGGAACTTGCTCCTCCATTACATATACTGAATTACCTGTGGAACGATTGGAACCTGTATTTATATTCGAAGAAGAAATGGTGACCCCCATGTCCCCCTTCGACATGAGCGGAATGTCCCTCCCAGATAACCTCCAAGAGATTTCTTTCTGTGATTTCGACTCACCAAGCCTTAGTTCGGAGAATTACGGCGACGTTTATTTTTACAGAACTTAACCCGTTTGACTACGAATTGGTACTAAAATCGATCCTGGTTCGCTAACCCCAAGCATTCTCAATCACTCTGCTTCCTTGATAGTTGAACTTTCCAGGCCCCTCGACATGAACTTCGACATTTTCTTGCGAAGCTTTTGCCTCACAGTTTCACGGAGGGGAGCATTGGCGTTGTGGTCGGAATTTCGAGAGCGCGGATGGTGAAGCTGAATTTCACATCCCAATGCTCCAGCACATGCCATGCCTCGTGGTCCCCGACACGTTGTGTATATTGTAAAATAAAATATGGTCGATGAATGTCTACGTGCATTTGCTTGGCCTGCTCCTTCCCCGGCTGTGCTGTGTAGGATTCAGACATAGATAGAAGCAGAGTTGTGGGACTTTCGATAGGCTTCAAGTGTCCTGCTTCAGTGGCAGTGGCAAAATCCTTCTGAAAAGCAACCCTTGTACTGATACAACGCACAATGCAGCAATTCAAATTTTGATGCCCACTCCGTTGTAAACAATCTTGAGTAGATAAGTGGCCTGGGGAGTCATGACGTTGTCGATTGTTCTGCATCAGACCATTTCCAGTCTGCTTGCGCGATCTGGGTTCTCCTGTTTGTGCGATTGGCAACCCTGTGCTATATCCAAGAAGGATTCACCCCCACAAATATGGTCTTTTGGATTCAAGCACAAACAATGGGAGAGAATAGAAACACACTCACGAAAATGTCTTGAATAGCAACACTTACAAGTTTTTAGACTGCCATTTCAAGAATTATCTCGAAGGGTGGGAAAAAATAGAACTTATAAATATAGACGCTTTGAACCGCAATTAAAAACACACAAAATACGATATTGTTGATTCATACTAATTAGTACTTAGATTTCTCATCCCGCGTTCCAGAGGAGATAACTAAAACCCTCAGAAACACGTAACATATCATACTGATATGTTGTTTGCATCCTCTTTGAAGCTCTGTCAGAATATCGTGGACGAGTCCTCAACCCTCAATCTTCCGTTATGCTTAGAACTGGACTCGGCTTCTAGAGTGTGATTCCGTATCAGTTTTGTGCGGTAATTCGGTTCTTGAGTTGGGTGGTTGTGCAGGACGAGTTGCCGAGGTAAAGCTTAGGTGTGGGGTGTGAAATCTGAATGACGTGTAGGATAGCATACTTTGAGAAAACAGCGACTGCGGCGAATGAGTCGATGACAGAAGGTAATGGATCGTGCTTCCTTTAGTTGTGGGTTAGTGTTAGAGAAGATTCTTCGGATGCATTGTGGGGTCAGAAGCAGGCATTCTATTCAGCAATAATGATTACACGAGCACTACACAGCGATTTGGCAAGTTTTGAGGTTTTAGGGTTTATGGCATTGAGGAAGAAATAGTTGTCGACAGCTGTGGGTTTATGGGTTTTTACCTTCACCTGCTTTGCGACTATGGCGAATCGAGGGTTGCTGCGCCAGAGCAAATCTAATTGCCCCTCGTTCCTTCTCTTTTCGCGTTGCACATCTGCTTCGTGTTCCTCGTGCATTTCAACTCCATTCAGCAGCCTTGCGGCGCTGGACAACTGTCGAACTTCTAGTTTCAGATCTTGCCGAATTTTCAGAAGTTGGAGTAAGTTATTTGTTGGCGAAAGGGAGGCTGTTAACATGTACCACTCCACTCGAATACTTCAACTTGATGCATTATTGCAGCAATCTAGTTCGGCGATTCTGAAACGGATCGCAAAAGGTACGATTATCGACCCGTTTGTCGTCGAGTCCTTGCGGCTGATCTTAGGACTTGATTAGGCACGTCTGGACCCGCTCTTCGAGTTGTCTCCTTCTTGTAGTTTTGCGATCGGACCTCAAATACATTTTAGCGCTTGTAATTATCGACTACTCTCTCAGTATTCTTCAAGTGCTGTAAAGATTGCTTAAAAAAAAAACATGTCATTTCTTAGTGTACATATCAAATTTAGCTTATAACGTGTAGTTGTGCCAGTTGACGTGATTAGCGATGCTTAGTAAAACTTTGATTTTGCGTTCTGGTACTTTTGTTTCGCTTGATATTGGGTACGCTGGATGGTATTACTTGGCAGATTGGGTGGAGAAATCGTGTACGAATTTTGGACAAAGCCGTGAACTGACTTCCATGTTTCAGGTATGAGTGCGATGCTTTGATCCGATGCGTTTCGTGCACTCAGTTTTGAAGATCCTTGGCACAAGACCGCACTAGAGATTCCTTAGAGTTGGTTTTTTTGGTTATTGACATTTAATTGCAGATTATTTCACAAACCTTGCTGTTGAAGCATTAAGGCAGTTTATCCTCATTCTTCTTCTTGATGTGCTATCTTTTAAGTATTATTTATGTTTGCTGAAAATTTATGAACTAATGCATAATGCAGTTATATGTGCTAGTCGAATACTTCGAGTAATATGGTGCTGTTGGAATGTGTTTTTGTTGCAGAGAGTGGGCACTTCGCGAGGGCAGGAAACGAGAAGAGCAACTAAAGGGTGGAGAATATGCCGCCCTGAGGACGGAGTGGGAATATTACGTAAACCAACAGTGTCACAATGGCACAGAGATCAGGTAACACTGAAATTGAAGCTATTACCATCTCCATGCAAAATGCCTTTCCATCACTGATTGGTTTGGAGCTTGTGATTCGTAATTCTTGAGATGCAGTAGCTTCTTAATGTAGATTTGCAACCATCATAGTTTACTTTTCTTCATAACATGGCTCTGATACCATAGTGGCTAGTCGGTTTCCAGAACGAATCTATCTGGTTTGCCAGCAGCAGAGGCTTTCCAATTCCCCTATCGCAAGTTGTTCGATATGTAAGCTTTTCTGCAACTAGAAAGGAACAACGAAATTTTCGAGGATTCCGAGATGGAGACATGCAGGTGGGTGATAGTAAGGAAGACCTAGAATTATACATGAAATCCAAATATAATCAGGAGAATCTGAAGACCAATGAAAATCAATCTGAAGAGGAGGAGTTTAGTGATCCAATCCAACATGACGATGTGGAAGAGGATCTACTATGGAAACTGAGGCCAAATCATGAAGGGAAATATGATAATGTCATTGCTGTCCTTGGAGATCCCCAAGTTTTAGCTGCAGCGCATGAAAAACTAAATGAAAGGCGTAGGAACTGGACTCTAGCCACTCCTGAACTCGAGGTTTCACACATTCCCAAGGAGAACAGGTCATCGAACTCGCGTGAAATAGATTGGAACTGGTTCAAAGAAGCTGCATTTCAATTACGAACTGGATCGTATCCCTTCAAGCCCGTGAAGCGGCTTGGCATTGCAAGACGGGGCCGTGGGGAGGCGAGACACTTGTCTTTCGTCAGACCCAAGGATCAGGTTATTCAAGAGGCTATGAGATGTATATTGCAGAGAATATTTGAGCCCATATTTTCAGTGCATGATTCTGGGTTTAGGCCAAATACAAATGTTCACACGGCTCTCAAGTCTGTGAAGTATGGGTGGAAAGGGATTTCATGGTTCCTGCAGTTTGATGTACGCATCGCAGATCATGGTCCAGTGCAGAAGCGACTGTTGAAAATTTTAGGAGAGCGTATTCAAGATGAGGTTTTTTTAGATATATTGAGGCAGATGTTCGAAGTAAGCACAATATGGGTGCACACTGCCACAGAAGAGGACCAACCAGAAGGAAGCGTTTTGTCCCCTATGTTGGGACACATTTATTTTCATCATCTGGATTTGGAGATCAATCGCATAAGAGAGGAAATTAATTCTAGGTCTGACACTCACTTGAAGTGATCAATTTTAACATTGCTTACACATCAGTGCTAGTAGTTTATTTTGTCAACTCACGTGTTCTAAGTATGGCATGTCAAATCAATCGTCATGAATCGGTTCCATTCTTCGATGTTTTAACTTACTTCACTTGTCTAGCTTGTGCAATGCTATGTAGAAATTACGTCTCGTTGATCATGCACACAACCCAGATCAGGTGAACTGATGATGTCAGGCTCGTCTGTCCCCGTCGGTCTTTGCCGCTTAAATCGGAGAGGAACATTCTTTTTCAGATTTATATTGGATTTAGAGCTATACAAACTGGATGTCAATTTAAGGGCTCTTTGGTACTTTGAAAATTGTTCTCAATACTGAACACACATTGTTGTTGCAAGAAAACATTGGAAGCACATCCCACCCATAGAATCATTTTGTGAAGGCGTACACGCAGCACACTATTTAAGGAGATCAAGGTGTAGGTAGGAGTTCTCGAAGAATGAGACCAAAACCGTAGTCGCATTGTTTGATACCATTCATTAGTAAGAGATTTAGCTATTTGATGAGTCTTTACAAAATCTACCGTGCAAGTGCCGAAAACAGGAGGCCCCTCCACGAGCTGATTCAGATAAATAAGGGAATTACTGAACCAAGGCAGTTTCAACTACTAGCCGTCCAGCTGCCTGCCTGCTTAAGATCCAAAGATAGATACACGCGTCTATCTGTAGAACTCAAAGTCTGTGTCCGACTTTTTGACGTTGGATCTGTAGCCCTTCTCAAAATCCTTGGGCAAAATCACATAACGATTCTTTCTGACTGCATGCATACCAGCCTCCTGACAGATGGCAGAAATCTGCGTCATGACAAATCAATCATATCAGATATGCAGCACATACAAATCCAGCTAATACAGACCTGACCTAATACTATAATTTACAGCTGAACTCAACATAACCGACTTTTCGATGTTTTAGAAAGCTGTAACCTAAAAGGCTGTTGATAAGAATACAAGTATCCCAATTCAACATGACCATATAACATACGCAGAACAAGACCGATTATGGAGGTGAAGAAGCGCACCTCGGCAGCACTTATCTTGTCAGGCCTAGAAACATAATCTTCTAGATCAACTTCCTCACTTAAGTTCATCTTTGCTGTACATACCTGTTCAAATCTCCATCAAACCCACCAACCAAACAAGTCAAGCAATGATATTTGATAGAAAGCCACTGAGCAAGCAATCTCAGACCCAGATTCCAAAAAGTACAAAACCGCAATCAGCTGAACAAGAAGAAGTAACTCGTACCTGGAAGACCATACGCTTTTGTCTCCTGTCAGGCAGTGGAAATTCAATCTTTCGATCAAGACGTCCAGGTCGCAACAAAGCGGGGTCTAGAGTATCTGCCCGGTTGGTAGCCATGATCACTTTAACATTGACTGTTTGATCAAAACCATCCATCTGTAACCAGAACATTAAAAATGTAAGAAAAGCAGCCAAACTTCGACGAGAAAAATGAACTGAAGACTACCGAGTTCTGTACAGAAATAAATGATCTATCACCTAGGAGGTCCACCATTTGAGGAATGGACTCTTCAGACAAAAAACTGAGAAATTAAAAAGACTTCATACCTGATTCAGAAGTTCCATAAGGATACGCTGAACCTCTCTGTCTGCCCCAGTTTGAGCGTCGAAACGAGCTGTTGCAATTGCATCAATTTCATCAATAAAGATAATGGCTGGGGCGTTCTCCTTCGCCAGTCGGAACACATCACGCACCATACGGGGACCCTGAGACCACATTACATTACATATTTTCTAACACGGGTTAGCTGGCGTCTAATAAAAACAAGCTATGACTACGATAATTCCAGAAAACATTTAATAAAGTTGCCTAAAAAGAAATGGTTGAACTCATCACATGAGTAGAGATAAACTAAAAGAAAGCTTCTGGTCACAGCAACAGAGACAGCGACACTCTATGAGGCGATTATGCCGCAAGCCTTACCTCTCCGAGATACTTTTGTACAAACTCAGAACCAACAACACGGATGAAAGCGGCGGTAGTGTGATGAGCGACTGCCTTGGCAAGCATGGTCTTTCCCGTTCCAGGAGGCCCATACAGCAACACGCCTCGGGGTGGGTCAATACCAATCTGCTTATATAACTCGTGGTGAGTAAGTGGAAGCTCTACTGCTTCCCTAATCTCTTGCTTCTGAATGTCACACCCACCAATATCCTGCACCCAGCAACATACAATACCATGAAATCATCTGAAGATTGAAAACGTACGAATACTGGAACAATAGAACTGTGCATCCAAACAAATCTACGCAAAAGTCCAACAAAATGCTCTGCGTCGTTTGCACTTGTCTCAGTTTCACTGCGGATAGTGCAGCGACTATGGCATGAGAAATTATCGAAAGGAAAACTTGAGATGAAACGATAAAACTGCACACACGACCACTATTTCGCTGTTCATGAGAATCCGACAAAAGAAACCCTAACGAAGTACAAACTGCAACTCAATCGTCGAATTGTATTCAGCAAGGGCGATAGTTCCTACAGGCAGCATGAACCCCAGTTCTAAAATCAACATACTACACGTGTAAACAAAATCAAGCTAAGCTAAGACCTACATCAACTACTACAAAATACTAAGTCATTTCATATCAAGATTATACTAAGTCGAAATGGCTTTGAGAGTCAGCTGAAAGAGACTCCAGATCGAACACTAGTCCGAGCCAATGGCTTCAGCTTACCGGGCTTCGAAATTGACAAACACTACCCTTCGAAAATCATGTACATGTGTACGTTTCAAATCCACAGAAGCGCAAATTTAATGTTGAGACCAGAAAGAACGTACGTTATACGACACATCAGGCTTCTCCGATTGTGTCAACAACGAAATGCTAGAATCGGCTTCAGGAGGCAGCACATCGACTAGCGCATTGGAGTGCCTATGAAGCGCAACTGAAGATGATGGCTTCAAAAGCTCCCGATTGATCGTACTCAGGATTCTCACGTAATAATTCGACCCAGTCGTCGACCCAACAATTCCATTGTTTTGGTCCACCATCTCAATAAACTGCCCAATCACAAGCGGCACGGATTGGATCCGCTTCACCTCTTCTTGTGCCCTAAGTAACTCCCGCTTCAAATTCTTCTGCTCGTCCTTGATATACTCCTCCTGAATATCCACAAACTCCAACTGCCGCTGCAAGAGCTTCTGCCTCGTATACAAATCCTCCTCGTCGAGCTCCGCTACAACAGGCTCCGGCAGAAACGACTTGACCGCCACAACGGGAGCGATACCCTTCTCCGTCACAGCGGTGACCTCCATAGCCGTCGCCATGTTGTGGAAAAAAAACACAGGAAGCTCTAAATCCTAGCCTCTAATCTAATCCCTCCTTGAGCTCCCGTCTCCTGTTTCAGAAATTGCTCCAGGCAAAATCGATGCTCTCCACAAAACAGCAACCACTATAATAAATGCCTCTGCAAGCAAGATGAGCTCTCCCTGGAACCCCAATGTGGATGAATCCCCTAGCTCGTAGATGAATGATATATTTCATCTCGAAGCAAACCTTGGGGCCACTGGGCTCATCAACACATGCAGTGCCTAATGCCGAGCCCGCGGTGATAGGTACGCGATATATCCTATGCATCCATAAGGGCCATGGGCAAAGTTTTAAATGCAATTACTTGATGTAAATGTTTTTGGAGATGGAATGGGTCTGCACTCTTTGTAGCCGCCTCAAATAGACAATTTACTAATGGCTCAATGCTAGTTTACAAAAAATCTGGTGAAATTTGCACATGAATCCATGTATTTAAAATAAGCTCGCTTGAGTTTTACCCCGAGCTGCACGTGTATATTTAGCTAAAAAAAATATTAAATTATTTCCTTACACAACATTATATGTTTAAAATAGTTTTTCAAATCAACACTTTAAAAAACATCACGTGTATGAAAAAAAACAAAAAAAAAACAAAAAACAAACAAAAAAAAAGTAAAAAAGTAAAAATGCACAATGTTGTTATTGACATACAAGTATATTGATAAAATTGAATTTGCATGTTTTAAAAATAAATAATAAAAAAAGAATTTTGGATAGAATTGTGGGTACTTAGAAATGAAGTGAAGAGTCTGAAAGCAAAAACTAAATATCACACATTAAAAAAAAGCCAAGTAATTTAATTTAGTTTTTATTTTGATCAATGTAGAATTTTCCTAAAGAAATGAGAGTGCATGTTTACTAATACTTTTACAATTGTGTAAACAGAACACACACAAACACTTAGGCAAATAAAGGAAAAAAAGAAAAAGTTTTCATCATGACAAGATGTAATGAAAACATGTTCCATAATGATTATTTGTAATGCAATAAAATAAACAAAAGCGTCCACACCGCAGGCCAAAAACTTTTTGTGGATGCATAGAATCATTTTACATTATTTCCTATAAATAACTGAAGTCCTCTGATGTGCCTTTCCCGTTTCGTCTCTTTCCGCTTACGACAGTTTCGGTAAACAGAATTGTCGAATATAAATCATCCACGCATACAAATTATCATCCATCACGTCGGTCATCATCCATCCGTAGGCAGGAAATTCCCATGTCGCAGGCGTTTCGACATGTGTGTCGGTCGGAGGCAATTGTGAAGAAGTTGAAGAAGAAGAAGACCCTCTCTCGATCTCTCCCCTACGAAGAAGAAGAGGAGGAGGACGAGGAAGCGGAAGAGGAAGGTGTAGAAACTGGCTCGCCACCGCGATTGATCCTTCCATTATTTTTGTACTGGGACTTCCGGATTTGGCCCAATTTCCACGGCATTTACTTTTCCGACCCAGAAGAAGGAGGAAAAGCCTTTTCGATCGCGTCGGGCTTCGTGCTGATCCGCCCCACAAATTTGGACTCGACCTTCACCTGACAACGGGTTATTGAGTTGCATGGAGAAGCCGATTCATCTCATTCCGATTCAGTTGCAGTTCAATATTTCAGTTTATATTTTTTCGACAGGATTCCTCCTCCTCTTTCCTGTCGCATGGCTGAGTGGAAATATCGTACGTGGTGACGCAACGTAAACAATTCGATGTTTCCGGGGAGTGGCGAAATTTAGGTTGGTTCAATCACTTGAATTTGGAAGGAATTGGTGGAAGTGCTGGGAGGAGTGGATTGAGTGGTTTGGTAGTAGTTATAGCGGTGATCATGAAATTTTTTTGTTCGCGATTTTGAGGTCGGTTATCGTCGGTATCAAAGGTGATGGGAATTGTTAGGGAACCCTAAGGGGTGTCACATGGAGAGGTGAGGAGTTCATGGGAGTGATACAGCTGGTAAAATCGGATGTTTTAAAGCGTCGTCTGTGTGTGGCGTGAGATGGTGGGAATTGCTTGGATAACGTGCCGGGGGGAACGGGGGTGAATTTCGAGAAACCCTAAGCGTAGTGAATTGGTGAGCGCGGGTGCGTGGGACCTGCAATTGTGCGAGAATTTCGATGACTGACGACAAGTTCGGAGAATGGTTTCGTGTGCATGAGGAGTCTTGGGTAGAGGGTAGTGTCGAGGGTTGCGTATCCTTGAGGTTGTTTTTTTCCTGGTCAAGAAAGAGAAGGGTATGGAGTTTAGCTGAGATTATTGTGATGATGAGTGTGTTGGGATAGTGTATATTGATATGGCTGAATTGGAGTGCTTTTTGCAGCAATTTTTGGCCGTGTTGAAATTGGCGTAAAATTTTGAGGTTGGTTGCAAGCGCCGGGTGTATTGTGTCAGTACTACTGGAGAATTTGGTCTTCTTAGGTATGCAGGCTCGGGTTTTTCTGTTCTGATTGATTGGAGTGGACTTTGGCACGCAAGGTGTCTCACGTTGCGGCGTTCGTGACCTTGGTCCGCATGTATGATTGGCGGTTAGACCGGACATTTTATGGAACTGAATTGCCTTGGAGGGCTAGGTTGGCGGCGTCTACGTGGTGACAAATCTAGGGGAAGTAGTCAAAGGCCTTGCTGGATTGTTATGAAAGTTGGAATTTTTGTAGGTGAGGAGGTTTTGAGAGCATGCGTAGGGTGCTGAAGCTAGCAGAACCTTGGCTGCCGGACAAAGAGGTAGAGTGTAAGACAAGGGTGGTACAGCCTACTGGCTGCTTTAAATTATGTTCCACAAGAATGAAACTTTAAGAGGCGTCCAGCACGAAGTGGAGCTGCCTGATTATCATGAACTTCATGGAGGCGAAGATTCTGCAGGTCCTCCTGATTTCTTTGGAGCTGAAACTTTCAAGTCGGGCGGTGTAACTGACCTTGACGAGTTCTTCCAGCGAGTTTATCAATATTACTGCGATAAAGGCTTCTGGTGTATGTTCACTAAGTGGTTGTGTGAGCTTGTCTCATTGGGGTTTACAATCGGCTTCTCCGGTTTTCTGGTATTGTTTGTAAATTGGCAAGGTTTACTCAGTGCCAAGTGCGGTATTGATGCCATCAACGAAGGAAATTTTCACAATTGCGACCTTGTAAAAGAGGCTCTGTACGAGCATCCTTTAACTCCATTTACTCTCGTCAAATTCTTCTTCGTCACCTACCTTGTGCTTTTCTCGTTATACTGGTTATTCTGCTTCCTACGTTTTTTTGCTCAACTGCGCGATATTCTTGAGGTTCGACACTTTATACATAATAGGTGCGTGGCTCCTCTGGATTGTTCTTTCAAATGCATTTTCCATGTTGTCACTTGTTTCGTTTGGCAAGCGTTGTTTAAAATTCCTTTTAATTTTTTCAGCTACAAAGACAACATTGCGTCTCTCTTAGTTTTGCATGCTAGTCTAGGATTTAATTTGGATGAATAACATTTTGATATGTTAATCAAAACCGTGTCTGCTGGCAGCCTTGGGGTCACAGACAATGAATTGCAAACAATGGCCTGGCCAACACTGGTCGACAAAATTGTACAGGTGCAGCAACATGAACGGCTCTGTGTTGTGCGACCGCTTTCGGCTCATGACATAGTTAGCCGTATTATGCGGAAGGAGAACTATCTGATTGGCCTGCTGAATAAAGGGGTGTTAGGTCTGGATCTGCCCTCGTGGGTACCTGGTGCAAGGCCCATGCTTAACCATAACAACAAGCGGCTAGTTTTGACGAATATGGTTGAATGGAGCCTCAATTGGTGCATTCTTCAACACATGTTTGACAGGCAAGTATTAATTGATGTCATATGTTTTTATTTTGTGTACTTTCTCCAAGGAAAGTAAATTGGGATTCATCTTGACGTTAGACGCGAATCACAAATCATCAATCTGCTAGTAATCATCTTCATTTTGACTTCTAATGATTTCGTGATTTACACTGCAGCAACTTCTTGATACATCGAGATTTCACAAGTAATCCTGCACGCCTACGAAAGAGACTGGTGGTGCTGGGCGTCTCCATGTTTCTCCTGTCACCTTTCTATGTAACCTTTATGTTCTTCTACTTCCTACTTCGGAATGCTGAATTATTCTATCATAACCCTGCTTCAATGAGTTCTAGGCGGTGGTCGAATTTAGCAGAGTGGAGCTTTCGAGAATTTAATGAGGTAGTAACCGTGTCTTGTCACTTTCTATCTTCCATGCCTATTTCTATTCAAAGATGACGAGCCTAGTGGCCAACGAGCAATTCGTGCTGATTAGGTATACTGCATCTAAGGTTCTTGTTTTTTATCTAACGCAGCTGGAGCACATGTTCAAGCATCGTCTGAATTCAAGCTATAAGTACGCTGTGGAATATTTGAAGCAGTTTCCTTCACCTATAATCAACACGATTGCAAAACTTGTCTCGTACATAGCAGGTGCATTTGCAGCTGTTATCATTCTTATCTCCCTCATCGACGAATCCCTTTTAGAAGGACACGTGAGTATTCTGGTGCCGAATTACACAAGAAATCTTAGTTTGTGTATTGAATCAACATGTATATTTCTGATTTACAAATATTCAAATCCGTGACAGCTTGACATGGCTACATTTTGTCTATATTCAAAAATAGGATGTTATGTACCTTCACAATGAAACGTTTGTATTGATTGGTCACCCGGTGTCAAGGTCATGTTTATTGTAGTGGTTTTATGCTTATGTTTCTGATGGAACAGATTGGAAGACACAATTTGATCTGGTATACAGCCTTCTTTACAACAGCCTTGGTGGTGAGTAGGTCGTTGATCACGGAGGAATATCAGGTCTTTGATCCAGTGGGAGTTATGCGACAGATTACGAGCCATACGCATTACATGCCAAAACACTGGCGAGGTGCTGAAAACACAGAGACTGTTCGTTTAGAGTTTGAGGGTATGTTCAAGGTAAAGTTTTATTTCGCAACTAGTTGGTTAGTCTTGGATTATCGTCTGATTTCTGAACCCGCACTTAGCTCTAGTCTTTGTGACCTTTTTGCAGTCTGTTGCCACTTCAAGTTCACAGCATTTGAGCATGATCCATGACAGCTCTCCATTGTGGACTCAGTTGCTAGTGATCAAGTGCTGGGCGTGAGTAAAGAATAACTGTAGTGGAAAGAATCAATGTCTTTTATTTATTTCTGATTTTATTTTGGTCGTGTATTATTTGTTGCATGCAGTATAACGCCGCGCTATTCTTTGAAGAGATTATATCTATCTTTGTTACACCTTTCATTCTCGTTTTCGCATTACCAAAGGTAAGCGAGTTTCAAAGTAATGCTTTGTTTTCTGTATGCTCTAATTTTATCCTGAAAGGTGGTGCGTGGGACTGGTCTTCAACGCGCACCGTTGATCACATTTTCTTCTTGAATTAGTGAAATTATTTGTTGGTTGAATTACCGCAGTGTGTGGAAGATGTGCTGCTGTTTGTACAAGATTTCACTGTCAATGTAGAGGGTGTCGGCCATGTCTGCAGGTAAATACATCGGTCTACTTATTGTTTCTCCAAGTATGTATACATGGTGTAATGATAGATCTACAGCTCTGTCTTAACATCTTCTATAAAGCTGGGTAAATGTGGTTTGATATATGTATGGGTTCTACCAGATTTTCAGGACATTGAGGTCCCAAAACTGTCAGTTACATTCTTCTTCCTTACTTTATTTGAGCCTTTTTAGTTGGTTTTTCGGGTAGTAATTGTGTTGTTATGAATAGTACAATAGCTTTTAGTGCAAAGTGGGCTATCATACACTGTCAAGAAATATTTGTTGGGCTTCAGATGTTAAGAAAACACAAGATGATACCAGATTCTTAGAATTGTTCAAAAGGAGTTACGTCTATCTGTTAAGCTCTATGTACAGGTTTTTTTTCAAAAGGGTTTGTTTCTGTGTTACCTTACATAGCAATTTGGCGATTGTTTACAGCTTGAGTGTCTTCGACTTTGAGCATCATGGAAACTCCAAGTATGGATCTCCTTTTCACACACACAAAGGCCGGCGCAGTTCACAAGGCAAAATGGAAAAATCTTTCATAAGGTAAATGCTAGCTTCATCAAAACAACGAAGAGTCCTACCCAAACGTTGAGCGTGCTATGTTTCATCTAGTCACTTGAATTTGATGGACGGATATCGAAAATCTGAAAGAAGAGGAGTTGAAAGATAGTTGTATCACAGTGAGCTTCAACTCGACATAAAAAATCTGCTTTGTATGTATTGTCTTATTGATGGTTAGGTTTTGGATCTGGCGTCTATAATTTTTCTCTTAGAGCATTGACGTCTTAGAATCGTGTTCTTGTGGTGCATACAGCTTTAAAGCCAACTATCCCAATTGGGAACCAGATGGAAACGGCAAACAGTTCATGTCTATGCTGACAGATTTCCGTGTACGGAATGAAGAAAATGATCTTGCAATGGGTCAGCTGCTTTCATCTCTTCAGCTAGTTCAACCTCTCAATCGACTCAGACCTTGGGAAATGCCGGTGTCTGCAATTTCCTATCACGCGTCCTCAGGCAGCTCACCCGTACGAGATAGGTCGAGACAATCCGTTTCTTTCACTCACTATTCTGAGAATGAAAAACCTTGTGATCAACGAAGGAAGGAACGCTACGGAAGTCCTATTGCTGGGAGTTCCGACCATGTACATCGGTTGGACAAGTTTTACACAGCATCACATTCGCCACAAAATTTGGAGTTGGGACAGAATGATAGACATAGGAAAGGCAGGGGAATGACAGCAGATGGTTTCGATTCCAGGTATGGAAATATTGATGAGAGGTTACCTACTAGGAGTGATGATTCGGAGACATTAAGCAAAGTAGGATTGTACTTGCCACCTTCCACACGAGGGATCGTTGGGAACCAGGCAGTTAGTCAAGTGCCATTTGAAAGGTGGTGGGCGCGTAAAGGCCCTGGTTCATCAGTCGCACCTGGAGAAAGCTCTTTCGAGCCTCCGATGTTTGATAGAGGTCATATATATGAAAGCCAGGATGATGTTTATGAAAGTGAGGAGGATCATGACCGGGATTGGTCATCGCAACAGCACATTAGGGAGGCATTCGAGAGCAGCCAAATTTCGGAGGATGAGGGTCTAAATTTGGAGTTTCCATTTGGAGATGTGTACCGAAATCCCGTAGGAGAGCCTGCTTTGTACACAAGGGATGGTGCTGTGGGACCAGAAAGTAGGCCGTATTGACCTAGTTCTTGTTGCGTATTAACTTTTGAAGTCTTCTAGAATACTGCTGAAGGTATTTGCCCTAAACCACCCATCACTTCGCTTCGTTTTGCTGCCAAACTTCTTGTCAAGAAACCCTACCGACAACATACAACAATGTTGCTGCTGTTGCTATGGCTTTTTGTTGCAACTTGTACTGTGTGTGTATATATCAGTTAAGGTATTCTGAAATAGATGATTTTGCTGCAGGGACATACAAGTATTGTTAACAAGTCGTTCGTACTGAATGTCTTGCAGAGCTTGAGGCAGCCAGGACGTCTTGGTTGAAAAGAATAATTGATGCTTCCACATGATTAAATCCAGTGAAGAACTGTGTTGGTACACGACTTTGTGTTTTGTGTAAAACTTAATCATTCTTTGAATACTTGGGATCTCACGATCGGGAGCTGCTAGCAGAGGACTTCATTGTAACCTTTCCTGTGCACGGCTGTGTATCCAGCTTTCTATCACGGAGGTAGAAAAAAGACAAGCTTCGCTGCATGCTTGGTACAAAAGTTTATGTTGAGGAACATCACGCTCCATCTGTTTCACACGGCTGATTGTTTCATTCATTCAAGCATCTACATGGCTTGCTACACCGTCGTTGCGTTTCGTTCCCTAGGTCTGTTGGCGTGCTATCGAGAAGCAGTTATTAACACATTATTATGTTAATGGAATTTATTTTGGTGCCCGATCGGGCCTCACTTTGCTCCCCATCTAGTCTTAATAGTTAATTAGTTTTCACTCACCAAATGATATCATTTTTGTTTTTAGATTATGTAGTGCAGGTGGGTGCCATGTCAATCTCCATATCTGATAGTGTGATCGCTCACGTCGTTTTAAGCGTCTGCGTTATGTGGACTGGCTTGGTTCGGGAACACCCATTTTGTTAGTTTGTAATCATTAAGCAAAATTGAGTCAATATTGCATCTTTATTGTCTCATGACATTTTGCTACGTATTCGAGTGGGTTCCAAGTGTATGTTAAGCATGCTCTCGATCTGTGATAGGCATGTCAGATTTTTAAAGTAACTATTTGTGCATGTATATACTATTTAAAACATAAATTGGTTTTTATTTTAAAATCCTTGATCTTGTTATTAATAAGATAATGCATTCAATTATGTTTGCAAGCACTAGTATGCTTGCAAACACTTGTATTTTTAACTTATTCCTTTTCTTCTTTTTTTGTATTCAACATGCTATGGTAACATAATCCTGATTTTTTTACTTTTCATAAAATTGTGGAATTGATAGTGTGGATAATTTAATGTGTTCATAGAATCTCTAAATTCAACAAATCACTAATGAATTATTTGAATGTCACTTATAGATGAAAAAATACATTTTTAGTACTGAGCATGATTCATTTAAAGAACACGTGTATTCTATGTGTAACTTTTGGGTCACAATTGATAATTCTATGAAACAATATACATTAAATAAGTACGTGTTTGTAACATCAGCCTCGGTATTCATTATGCTTGCACAAACTCAAATCCAATACCAAACTGTAAGAAAAACATGTTGAAGAGATAATAAAAATAAAAATATATTTTAAATCTTTTGCTGCATATAGAAAACTATCTTCCTAAGAATCTCATTCCACAGCTAGGAATCCGCCGTGGGTGAGCCCTAAATTAGGTCAAAATGCACCAGAATAACTGGACTAACAAATCGGGGCAAACATCCGCGTTGAGGCAAAGCTATTCAGGTGGTCGCATTAAAGGAAAAATCCAAAATCTAGGGACAACAACACACTTAAGCATCCAACAAATCTTTTATTTATTTTTAACTGAAAAGGCAACTTCGAGGAGGTGGTGGATTCATACAACATCAATAACAGCAACAACATGCTCTCTCGCTCTGCCACATCAGGTCCTTCACACCGATGGAATATTTCCTGTAAGCGATGGAATATTCGTAGCATGCCCTGGAAGTTTCTGGGAAAGAGCACATGATGGGCATGCGACATAGAAGAGGGAAATCTGTTTTTCTTGTTGGAAATGGAAAATCAAAGGATTTGTTCAGATTTGTTACGATTATGGTGTTTACGTGGATGCAATTTTGTGTGTTCATATAGTGGCCTATTTTCTCATCTTTCAATCTCGTAGAACTAGTGGGACAAACACAAATAGGTTTTATTACTGTAAATATATATATATATATATATATATATATATGTATATATATATTTTGTTCATGGAAACCTTTAAACTCCAACTTTTTATACAATAGTTTAATTCAAATTTTAACTTTTATAAGGTTGTGTAATCTGAACCTGGTATTGTCCCTTCTTTCTTATGATTTACACATTATGTATTTTTATGTAAGTTTATGAGGTTAGATATATATATATATATATATATATATATATTTATTTTCTTCTTCTTTGGTTTGAAAACATTCCCAAGTATGATAAATAGCATGTTTGTGTCTACGCCTTTTTCTTTTGTCAAAATAACAAGCAATTGTATTATTATTGTTGTTATCAGCACAACTCACAGCATGGGAATATTCGAGATAGTTAATATTATTTACTTTTGGAATTGAATTATTTCTATTTAGGATTGTACCTACGCCAATATCTGTAACTAGTGTATATCACACTATACACAGTGTGAAAACAAAACAATCACTACGTCATGTCACTCTCTTGCATTGTTTGTTTTGTTTTGTAATTCATCAGGGACAATCAATATGAACCTGTTCTTTCTTCAACTTGTCTTTTTTACTAGAACCTGGTGAGAGGAATTGTTGTGAGGGCTGAATAGTGTGATAAACACTGATTACGGATCTCAATGTAGATGCTCAAACATAGACAATTAAGTCAAAAATCAAACAAAATATGTTAATTATATCTGTGTTACAAGCGTCTGACAAAAAATGACTCTTAAATGCAACAAAGTTAAACAGTGTATAATTTCACGTCTTTTTATGACTTAAGCAACATAGCAATTGGTATTTAAAGAGAAGTAATTTTTGCTCAATCTTTTTGCATCATAGCACATAAAACTGAAGTAAATGGTCTTTATTTTGTTGATAAATAATACTACATAAAATAGTCATTTGTTTACCAAATTATTTTTTCACCTTTCAAACAATAACTTACAAAAAGTGAAATAAAGACGAAGAGGAAATCCAAGTCTATTTTGTTTCATAACCTGCATTGATTATTAGTACTATTTTTTCTACAATTAAATCCAACGAAGTAGATTCTTTGACACAACATTAACACATCTGAATACAATTTCAATTAAGAGTCACGCTGACAGAATAGAAGGGAAAAGAGTATTAAATATTCGCTATCCTAAGAGTGCTTCTAAACGCTAATAAAATAGTTACACTATTCCACGTCGTAATTTCTCACGTCGTAACTTTTTGCGGATGTCGTAATTCCTTCGCAACATGGGAATGAAGGATTTCATCACCTCAATTATTATTCAATGGGGACGGATCCGCGTCCCAAGGGAGGTCCCCACGTGTGTTTCACATCTCGATCGGTACCTGAACCGCGAAGAAGGGTCTTTCGCTTCTCGCAATGCTCTCGTTCGTTGCCCTCCTCCGTCCTAGCCCTCCTCCTCCGTCCTAGCCCTCCTCCTCCGAGCTCGTGGTGGTGGTGGTGGTGGTGTTCCCCGGAGATCCTTCCGCTTGCTGTTGCTTCGTCGCCCTGATCGAGCACCATGGTAACGTTTGCTACGCATTTTAATGCCCTCTCGCACTCAATAAGAAGAAATATTTCCCAATCCTTTTCTCTCATGGCCTTTGTGTCGGAGCCGGTCTTTTTAGAGGTCCGGAAGGGTTTATGGAAGTGATAATCGTGGCAATGGGAGGATACTCTTTGGCGTCTGGTGATACTGTCGTGTGGGGTGGCTAGCTTTCCAGTTTCTTTCTAAGTCGGTCTTAAATTTTCGTCTCGAGGCTCTGCGGATCGCTAGTGATATCTTTTGTAGCTTTTTTGGAATTTTTGTTGACCTAGTTTCGAATACCGTGGTTCAGAGTCCAGTAAATATCCTTGGCATTGAGTTTTATTTCATTGTTATTTTTCTTTTTCTTTTTTTCGTACTTGAAATTTTCTAGTGCGTAGTCGTATTTGCTGATTAACATGTAATTGCAGATCATGTGTCATTGGTGTGAACGACATGTTATTCGATTATCGTTGTTGAGTTTTTATCCAGCTTGGCTATAACAATAGTTCATGTTTCAAGAAACTTGTCTTCGATTATTATTTTTTCGAGTAAATTTTGTTCAATATGATCAGTTGTTCTGATAAGTTTTTACGGGCTTTTGTTTTCTCTTGCAGCCTCTCCGCTTAGCAATAAAGGTACAGTCCAGCTCAAGATTTTCTGTTTCTTGTTAATTACTTTGTTCTTTTTGCTTCAATTTTCTAGTCAAGCTCTTTCTGTTTCAGTACAGTCCCTGTAGCACTAGATTTTGGATGACAAGAGCAATGATGAGCATTGCTAGAGGTCATATGTATCTCGCGTCACTACGAATAGGTTGCAGAATGCAGAGGGTGTGTGTAGTATTAATCTTAAGCTCGTCGGTTTTGTGCTTGTTTCACCTGCAGCGGAAACTCGCCCAAAGGTCTGAACGAGTGAAGTGTGTGGACCTTCATCCAACAGAACCATGGTAAAGCCTCTTCAAGACTGATATAAGTCGGGTTTTGTATATTTCTCGAACTTAAAATGGTTGTTTGCATCCTTCAATTTTTTGTGTTTTTGATTTGTGATTTCCAACAAATGATGTAAGCTTGGATGTTTTGGTAGTAATACGCGTGTATTTTGTCTGTTGGATGGACCTTGAACACTTAGGTTCTGAAACTCAACGATTATATGATCTCTGTGCAGGATATTGTCCACTTTGTACTCAGGAAGTGTTTATATTTGGAACTATCAGAACCAGGTATACATATGGGCATGGCTTGTGCACTTTAATTTATGAAATCCCCCCCTTCCCGATTATTGACCAGCTCTTTAAGTATCCTAAGCGTAGAAGCGTGAAGATCTAGTTCCTAGGGTTACTCATGCTATTCGTATTATTCTGTAACAAGTTCTGAGCATTGGATTCTCGACGTGCTATTAGTTTCATAATTAATTTCGTCGGTACTGCTACTTAGCTGAAATTAGGGCTGATTCTATCCCTACGTTCTTATGTTTTCAGACACTGGTGAAATCCTTCGAAGTTACCGATCTGCCTGGTAAGTTGTATGGGTTTCTACGTTTCAATGCTTGTCGTGATTCACTCACGGTTTTCAGCTGCTTTTCTAGTATTTCTAATTGGAATTTATAGCGGATGTTATTTGAGTTGCATTTTTACTTTCTTCCAGCTTTGTTTCCATTTCAAAGTTATTGATGAAATTCACTGAATGAAGTTCTTCTCATTCACTCCTTCCGTTTCTTGCAGTTCGATCAGCAAAATTTATTCCTCGCAAGCAGTGGATAGTAGCGGGCTCTGACGACATGTTCATTCGAGTCTACAACTATAACACGATGGATAAAGTGAAACAGTTCGAGGCTCATACTGATTACATTCGCTGTGTTGTAGTACATCCAACATTATCTTATGTTCTATCTTGCTCAGACGATATGCTCATCAAGCTTTGGGACTGGGAGAAAGGTTGGATCTGCACCCAGATCTTTGAAGGACATTCTCATTATGTCATGCAAGTGACTTTCAATCCCAAAGACAGTAACACTTTTGCAAGCGCTTCCTTGGATCGAACTGTTAAGGTGAGATATTATGTGCTTCGATGTTCTTCTATTGGCATTATGTACGTAAAGAAATTCTATGAAAAAAAAAGGAAGAGTTTTAATCCACTCGACTTGTTGTGGAATGCTTTTTTAGGGTAGTGTTCTAAACGTATATCGCCATATTGAGTTGATCAGATGAGCTCTGTCTTTGTATAGATATGGAACTTGGGTTCACCAGAGCCCAACTTTACCCTCGAGGCTCATCAGAAGGGTGTCAACTGCGTGGAATACTTCACTGGTGGTGACCGACCACATTTGATCACAGGATCTGATGATCAAACAGCTAAGGTGTGTCAGAGTTCACATGTTACAATTTTGCTTAATAAAAATTTAGAAGCCTGGTCTCCTGACATTGTCCCTTGAGGAGTACCGAGTTCACTGTTGTAAGCTTGATGCATTTTAGTATATCATTGTGCGACGTGGTAAACGTCATGTTTAAGTGAAGATCACTTGGTCATTCAAGTTGTTGCATATTGATTGCTTAGTTTCCCTTCCTGGCGTTCTCTTTGATGCAGGTGTGGGATTACCAAACCAAGAGCTGTGTGCAGACTTTAGAGGGTCATTCTCATAATGTGTCTGCAGTGTGTTTCCATCCTGAGCTCCCCATCATTTTAACTGGTTCAGAAGATGGGACTGTTCGTATTTGGCATGCAACCACATACAGGTAGGATTTTGTCTATTTTTAAAAACCATTTGGAAATACTAAGATGATTGAATGTTAGTGCGATGCATTTAATACCATACATGATCGTGTTTAAGTTGGTGTAAACTTCTCCTCCTCACCTAAATGCTGGAACCAATTTTGAAGTCTATGTGTCCTATCTGTGCGTGCGTATCTTTTTAAGGCCGTTTCACATATTCTATTGCAGTAATTTCTTCAGGTGATTGATGATAATCTATTAACGCTGCATTTCTCTGTTTTAAAGGCTAGAGAACACACTGAATTATGGACTGGAGCGTGTATGGGCGATTGGATACATCAAGGGTTCGAAAAGGCAAGTTATTTACCAAGAAAATCATTCAGTTCCTTGGATTCTGTATATATATTGCAGATATCTTGCTGCTCCCGTCTAGGCAGATGCAATAACACCCTTTTTTTTGCCTTTGAACAGGCTTTAATGGCATATACATGTGTGCGCGGGCGCGCGCGCGCACACATACTTACACAAGCATACCCACTCATATCCGTTAGTTTGATAATTTGACCAGCCTCTGAATTTGTAGTTGATTTCTATGCAGGATTGCAATCGGGTATGATGAAGGAACTATCATGATTAAAATTGGAAAGGAGGCACCAGTTGCCAGCATGGATGGCAGTGGGAAAATTATATGGGCAAAGCACAATGAAATACAGACGGTCAACATCAAGGCGGTTGGCGCTGATTTTGAGGTGGATACTGATTCTTTCATGAGAGAAGCTTAACACATTTGTTGCATCTGCGTCTAAGTTTTAAATGAATGAGTTTTTTCTGCAGGTTACCGATGGCGAGCGCTTGCCTTTGGCAGTCAAGGAACTTGGAAGCTGTGATCTTTATCCACAGGTGACCGATTGCTCGTCTAAATTTCTTTTTGAAATTTCATCTTCGAAAGATATGTTTGCTCAAAATATCTATCAAGTGAACGCTTATCGGTTGGCTTTGTGTGCCTTGCAGAGCCTGAAACATAATCCGAATGGCAGGTTTGTGGTAGTTTGTGGTGATGGTGAGTATATTATCTACACAGCTCTTGCTTGGAGGAATCGATCATTTGGTTCCGCCCTGGATTTTGCCTGGTCAACAGATGGTGAATATGCAGTTCGCGAGAGCACTTCCAAAATCAAAACATTCGGCAAAAATTTTCAGGTAAAAACAACTTGAAGAGGATCAGTTCTACTTTCAACATAGCCTTACCCAGGTTGAATGTCTTAGTTTTGGACACTTGATGCAAATTTTTATGCTTCGATGTTGGGTATATTAGTGCTCATTTCAGATTATTTCCATGACCTTGTGATTTCATTTATTCTGTGTGAGAAATTCGAAAGAGGCAATTCATAAGGTCTTCACAGAGGTATTCGATGTGAAATGCAGGAGAAGAAAAGCTTTCGGCCATCGTTTTCAGCTGAGGGGATGTACGGTGGTGCCTTGCTTGGAATCCGTTCTAATGACTTGGTCTGCTTTTATGACTGGGCTGAATGTCGTGTGGTTCGAAGGATTGATGTCGTAGTCAAGGTAAGAGTCGCAGGTTTCTCCTCTTTCTCTTCTTTTTCTGATATTTTGTCTTTCTAATGAGGAAAGAATGAAATGCTTGTTTTTGACTGTGTTGCGTATATTTTAAATTCAGCTTAAGCTAATTTTTTCTGTGTTTTGAGGACAGAATATATACTGGTCAGATAGCGGAGATTTGGTTGCTATTGCGAGTGAAAGCTCGTTTTACATCTTGAAGTACAACGTAAGGGCACGCATTGTACAAATATTGCACATTTCATGCTGGTCATACTAATGTTTATTGCCTGATGTGTTGGTTCTAATTTAAACCTTTTAGCATTAAAATAAGACATGTATTCTGTGCATACTTGTGTACTTGCTTAGAGCGATTTTCTTTGACCGAGAAATCTTCGGGTGTTCGATCTCGAGTTTATTTGTCTTATTCTCACGAGTTTCTTTTTCTATGCTCAGCGGGATGTGGTTGTAGAGCACTTTGAAAGTGGCACGCCAACGGATGAGCAAGGTTTGGAAGATGCTTTTGAACTCCTGCACGAAATTCCTGAGCGAATTAGAACTGGCTTGTGGGTTGGTGACTGCTTCATTTACAACAATTCAGCATGGAGACTCAACTACTGTGTTGGTGGAGAGGTAAGTAATGGTCATACATGATGGATCAGCTAATGCTGCACCGTATCCATTTCAGATACTAGTAGATTACATTTTAGCTTATGAGTTACTTGCATCCAATCTCAATCCACTTAAATGTTATACTCTAGAAGGTTGAAATCTCGAATTTCTTGTGCCATATTCAAGCAGGCACACAATACTTAGTCCTGCCTATACGATAGACCGCTTTCACAAAGACTGACCAAGCGAGATCCTGGCTGCCGAACATTGTTCAATATTTGGAGGAAAACTAGAGTTCTAATCGTGTATCTCGTGTTTGTAGGTGACGACAATGTTTCATCTTGATCGTCCAATGTATCTACTTGGATATCTCGCAAGTCAAAGCCGCGTGTATCTTATCGATAAGCAGTTAAAGTGAGTCATATTTAAAAGAGGACAATGTCACAAAATTGACCATTTAAGACACTTGTTTCAGCCATGAATGTTTTAATTTTAGTTACTGGAATCTTGATTTCCATGTACTTAATATTATTCTGGTAAATTACAATGCATAAATTGACTTGAAATCGTACTGAATGCTGTGGGACCTGTGAACGCGTTGAACGATTTCAGTGTCATGAGCTACACATTGCTGCTGAATCTGATAGAGTACAAAACCCTAGTATTGCGAGGAGACTTAGAAAAAGCAGAGGAGATTCTGCCGACTATCCCCAAGGAGCACTTGAACAGGTCAGTTAGAACATAATAAATTGAATTGACTGTAATGGCAGCTAGGTTTAAGCACTTGATTCGTATTTGTCGATTATATTATAAAGTTTTCTTGATTTATCGCAGCATTTATTTGTTTGTCCTCACTCACCTAGTGGTGTTTAAGATGAGCTGCCGGTAGGTTTCGCTAAAACGTTTTGGGTATGAAGCATTTACATGTCCTTGGTTGACAGTGTTGCGAGGTTTTTGGAGTCACGCGGTATGGTGGAGGAAGCCCTTGCTATCGCGACAGATCTTGACTACAAGTTTGATTTAGCCATTCAGCTCGGCAGGCTGGAAACTGCCAAGGTATAGTTGATTTTTTGTTGCTCTTCATCCCACATCCTGCCATTTACTCCTCTATAAACATACTAGGGAATGGACTTTCTGTATACTGTACTAGTTTGTATTAGGAATGCACTAGTTCTACTTGAAATAGTAGACCTATAATTTGTTGTGTTGTCTATGCAAACAACTTCATTCTTTAATGTTGATGTGTGCCGAGTTTAATATTTGGGAATTTTCAGATCTGCTTTGTTGAATCTATCTGAGAAAGACAACATTATTTCTCTGCTACAGAAGTCCCTTGATTAGATGCTTTGCATTTAAAGAAGATTAGCTTGAAATTTTTCTAGTTGTTTTTATGAGAAATTGTCATTGAATAGTCCTTTTTGCCAATGCAGACTATAGCTGAAGAGTCACACAGCGAGTCCAAGTGGAAGCAGCTGGGTGAACTCGCAATGTCAGCTGGAAAGGTATGATGTGGAAAATCAGTTGTGATCCGTTTGAAATCAAGATTTTTGTAGGAAATCAAGTCTTGCGTTTCCGACAGAGAATTTCCCTCTTATTCCTCTTTGTTTCCAGTGATTCACGCTCAGAACACCTGAACATCCTGGAACTCATCTGTAAGCAAATGTTGATGTTTCACAAAGCATGCTGAAGCTGAGAAGTAATGGTTGTGCAGTTTGAAGTTGCGGAAGAATGCTTCGGGCATGCCAAGGATCTTAGCGGATTATTGTTGCTGCATTCAGCCCTTGGGAATGCTCAAGGGCTCACTGACCTGGCAGTTGCTGCCAAGGAACAGGGAAAGATAAATGTGGCTTTTCTCAGCCTCTTTCTGCTTGGAAAAGTAGAAGACTGTGTACAATTATTGATTGACAGGTACCCCTATTCGTACTCCTCTCTGTTGTGTACTCATTCAATCAATCTCTGGTTGTGCTCTTTACACGTCGTTTTTGCCATAATTTATGATTCAATAATATGTTGCTCTGACGGTTTTCTAATTTGGAGCTTCTTGTGGTACAGTAACCGTATACCAGAAGCAGCTTTCATGGCTCGTACATACACACCCAGTGAAGTCAGTAATGTTGTTGCGTTGTGGCGAAATGATCTAAAGAAGGTGAATCATAGTGGGATGGATTTTCCTAATGTATTGTCTTAATATCTTCTAATAAGCTAGACAATGGATGGTCTTTCTAGGAGATGTTTGACTGAAAGATGTATTTGATGGATTTCACAGATTAATCAAAGAGCAGCTGAATCACTAGCAGATCCACAAGAGTACCCCAATTTATTTCCAGATTGGGATTTGGCATGCGAGGCGGAAGTCCAGCACAGAGAACAGAGGTATGCTTTAGAATGTGCACGCATTCATATTTTGCCGAACTCAGGTAACAAGCTTGCTATTGCCAAAACTCATAGTGTCTTATTGTCTTTCTCCAGTACATGAATGCTACTCTAATACTTCCCGGTGTGTCGACAGGACCAAGTTTCTTCTAGCCAAGGAGTATCTGAATTACATCAACGGTCAACACGATGACTTGGTAGATGAGATGAAGGGATTGGATGTGAATGAGGGTCCCCATCTGGAGAACGGTGGCTTTGTACATGAAGTGAGCACCTGTTAATTCCTCCGCTCTTGCGACTTGAGGCTTTTAAGTTCAGGAAATGAGTACATTTAATGGCTCGCACTGTCTTTTTGTCCATGTAAATTTGCCTGTATGAGTCTTGCAGTATTGATGGGAATAGTGTGCACTAATTAATTGGTTGTTTCTTCCTTGTACTTTACAATATACTTTTTAAGTAGTTGCAATTCTTTTTCTAGTAGTATGTAGTCTTCAGCAGTTACCACAATCTCACTTTCTGTCGTACAGAATGGAGAACTTGTGGAGGATCAAGAACTGGAGTCCTACCAGGACGGCGAGTACGTGGAAGCGGACCAACACGATGTTGTAGATGTCGACGACGAAGTTGGCTTTGGAAAATCCGATCAGTTAGTTGATGGAGAAGGCGAACTTTCGAAGTCACATCCTGTTATTAGCACCGACGATGGCGCCGAAGAAAAGGGTCTGAAATGAGAGTCACGTGGTGATTAGACTGGTAGTGACACCTATTGTGTATGCTGGTGTAGGAAGGATAATTCATGTGTCGTAGCAGATGCCGGCACGTTTCTCTGGAACTGCTCTCCATTGTCATGGCAAGAAAATGATGTGGGCTTTTCTGTAACAAAAGTGGGAGTAATCCTGTAGATGTTCCACGCTTAGTTAGGCCACCAGTGCAGCAAGACGATTTTTCGGATCTAGTTGTAGGAACCATTTTTGTAATACCCTCGTATTTAACCCTTCACCATGGATGGCCCCCCGTCCGAATCCTATCGTGGTCGCAAGTTCAGAGACGATTGGGAATGTCTAGTTCTTTGGAAGGACCTGTTTGACAACTGCATTCCGTTACTTCGGTTGATTCATGCCCAGGTGTATGGTGTACTGGTTCGAAGGGGTTACAAAACAAGCTTCGGAGTCCTTGGCGTTCTTTTGCGCCAACCAAGGTGGATTCTGCTTCAATGGGGGAATAACTCCCTTGGCTACACAGTATTTAGTTGTATGTTGATTTATTGTGAATGTATGTTTATGTGTGGTTCTTCGGAGCAGCAGCAAGCTCACAAAGAAACCTAAAGTTGCTGCCTCCTATGTGGCCTGCACCTCGGTGGGGAGCTTTCGCCCAAGCTGCTCACAATTTGTAATGTGCTTTGGCGTTATGTTTTTAGCCCCGGTGAGGGTTTCTAGGCCTGAAAACCAGGCTCTCACCCGAGCGACCCGGGTTCGAATCCCAGCAACGTAAATTTCCGAGTGAAGAAATTGGATCACATACTCTTTTTCTATTTTCTCTTATCTTTGTCCACCCTTCTCGTCGTTGCAGGCCTCCCGGCGAGAACCGATGCCACATACCTCGCCTTCCAACCTCACCTCCCATGCATGCGCGCTCGACGCCGACTTGCTACTACCGCAGCGAGACCACCGCTGCCCAGCAATTGCTTCAGCAAACAATTATATGATATTTTTCTCTACGAAATACCTCATTGCCAAAATATGATTGTATGAAATCTTAACAATTGTAAAACAAATAACGAAAACTATCAATTCAAAATCCCAATTTGATATAGTAGAAATAAAGTCCAAGCTTGTGCACTCTGATTCCCAGACAATCCCATGTCTTAAGCTAAAAGAAACGATCAGTCATTCCAGTAATCTTAACTATGTGAAGAAAAATTAAATTTCATGCGTTTCATTATTTTTTAAGAGTTGTTTAATAATAACTTATGTAAACCACATGACATGATCTAAAATATAGACGCTCATCAAACAAAAATTCAATTTCATGGACAGTTGCAAAGTAATTGGTCGACTCTGCAAACCAAATACTTCCACCATTGGTCAAAGATTGACTTTCTACAAACTTATATGAAACTTCAGCATTACAAACTTTTGACTGTAATATAACGTGATTCTCTCTTAAAAGAATTGCAACAACAGCCTCCATAATTTCTTCTTCCAAATCCATCTTCTGACCAAGGTTGGAATACTAGGCTCTCACACGGGCGAAAAAAAGGGGATATGCAAATATGTGATAGAAGATCTCGTAGAGTAATGTAGGTACCAAGTTCTCACACAGCAATAATTTAGCTCACCAAGTTCTATGCAAAGCAACTGCTGCCAGGAATACGATGACATTTTCTCAGCATACTCTCCGAAAAAAGGAGGGGAGTAAACTGCGTTCAACATGGTACAGAGGAATATCGAACTAAATATAGAATTCACGACCTCATTGTCTCCGCCCTCTTCCCTTCCTTGAAGGTGGTGGAGCTACTGGTTCTTTCGGCAAATCTTCTGGCACCTCAACTGCAACCATTGAAAAGGAGAAAATAAGAATTCAGCGGTGAAGTTCAGCGTGTATAACTTTAAAAATAATCCAGATCTACTTGAAAAGCAGGCGGAATCAGCAACTAATGTCTGAAAGTGGAAACAGTACTTGACAACGGTTAAGCAGTAAATTTTCTGGCCGTAAATGATACTACAACAAGCATATCACGCTGTGCAGGACGGCCACAGGCGGTTTAATCTTTTCCTCTGCATTAATTCAGGACTGCACCCCAAAATCAAGTCGAAACTGGGTTGTGATACGCACCATCTGGCCCTCGGGCCATCATGCTAAAAAACGTGTTGTTGAGCTTCTCCATCTTTCTTATATCCTGGGCATGTACTGTCTTGAACTTTAGACACTGCAGAAACAAATGGAAAGATAGTAGCCTCAATACGCATTCTACATTCTCTGCAAATGCTGATAAGTTGGGCGTGCAACAATGACAGAACGAAATGAAGAATAGTGGCAACTTGCACGCAGATCACCTCTCTGCAGAATTCTCCATCAACAGTTATCCTGTCATTTACATTTGTACATAATTTTAAGCAACTAAACAGACAAGTGTCTCATGTGAAACAATAGACTAACAGAATGCAGTTCGAGCTTTACAAGAGTAATTCAGTCATCTCTCCCTCACTAGCAAGGTCGTGAAAGCTATGAACATTTCTTAATATTCACCCGTCACTTTTGACAAACCTTTTCTTAAAAGATAGCTAGAGATCCCTCCAAAACTTAACAGCACGAAATGAATGCAGATTGCTAGAGCAGGCGAAAATAGGTGACAGAGATGTAGCACAACTGCTAAGACTTCCAAAACAAAAGCTGACTCTACTTCAGATCCGCAGTATTGAATTCGCTACACTAACACCAAACATCATCTCTCATGTCTAAATACGCGACCAATTCCGAATAACACATAGCGACCAAAATATGATTGTTTCCAGAAAAACCTGAAACCATCATTAGGCTTTCTCAAGATGCATAAATTAAGGATATTAAAAGACCTCTAGAGAAGTTAAGGTTAATCCAACATAGTGCAGCTCCAAAATGCTGAGAACCGCCGCACGTTGGAACCAGGTCCATAAGTCGTACATATCATAGGAAGTGATAACAAAGAGCACAACATACCACTTTATCGTCGGTGACTTTGAGAACGAGTTTGCCATCACAATGCCTGTATTTCATCACATAGCGCGTCTGGAAAGCATTGAGGTCAAGGCTCAAACCTTAGCAAAACCTAATGTAAAAACCACGCACAGGTCATACTACTTGTGAGGCATAAAACCTCGTCCCGAAGCTTCCACAACACACGTTCACTCGGTTCCGAAGCACTAATCCACCTCGCACAAAAATTCAAAACAGAATAGCATGACGGGAATGAAGGTAGGGATACAGCCACAGGATCGGAGCGGAAAAGCACGATAGCGCGTTCCTGAAAGTCTTCCCAATTTTCGATGTACACCATCGCTACCTGTGATCGCTGTTCAGTTGCTCCCTCGCTCTCGCTCTCGCTCTCGCTTCTCTCGCTGCAAGCGATGTCCTAAAAGCGCGTCAGAATTAATCTTCCGGTGAACCAAAGCTATGAGAAGGCAAAGGAGGCGATTGAATGGCGCGGGGAAGGTGGCACGATTGAGAAGGTGAGTTTGTACCTTCAAGGGTACGAAGTCCTACGAACGAACGAACGAACGAACGACCCTTGTTCTTACGTTTCTTTGTCAGAAAACCAAAATAAAACTGAACTTCACTAAAATAAATTTCCCACAACGAAAAACTACACCCCAGATTTTTTGTTGTTTCGCACCACTCTTGCCTTCTCAAAAGCATTTATTAAATTGTAAATAATAGAATCCACACCTATTTTGTTCGAGGTGACCACGTCTTCCCCAAAGAAACCCCGCCCGGGTAAAGATAGCCCGATGGGGGTATCAATAGGTTCATAAATCAACATTCCCCTTGTTTGCGTCTTCTACGGACTAAGAGTTGAGAAGTGATGCAGCGAGAGCGTGAAACAGAGAAAGGAGGAAGCAGTGTTAGAGAGGTGGTCGCGATGGAATCAGGTGCTGGAGGAGAAAGGACTCGTGATAGCGATGGCGACTGCGACATGGAGGAGTACGGGCAGCTACAGCAGCAGCTTCATAGCTCCAAAATGCGCCTGCACGATCGCCTCCAGGTTGCCACAATAGCCACGGCGGAGCGGACAGCGCACAAGTGCGGGATGAAAGTGTCCAGCCGAGTGATGAGCGCTCTTACAGATCTAACGTTTAAGTTTGCTGAGCGCTTGGCGGTGGACGCGGAGCTCTTTGCTCAGCACGCAGGACGTAAGAAGGTGGACACGGATGACGTCCTGCTTGTGGCTCGCAGGAATGAGGATGTGCTTGCGTCGCTTCGATTACTGGCACAGAGTTTCGCAAAGTCTAAAGAAAAAGGCCCCGAGAAAAAACGGAAGAAGGCTGTAGCTGACGTCCCCGACACATGAGGATGCACGGGCATCCACCTTCAGCCACGGGAAATTTTACTGTAGGGAGCAGATTTAGACGCAGGAGCAGATCACATGTAGAGCTTCGATGATTTTGTAGACACAAACGGGGCGTCATTTTGCATTGAGCAGTTTTGATCCACTCCTGCTTAATGTTCAATCATCGATGTACCATGTGAATGGAAAGCGCGATGCATCGTTCTGCAAGTGCAGAAGCAAGCAAATTCACAAGGATATATCAGGCCATTACGCCATTGCGTTAAAAATTGTATACAGAAAGGAAAAAAAGAAGAAGAAAGAAAATTAAATGCTAGCAGTTACAAAGCTAAGCAAATTTATCAGTCACACCAGTCAGAAATCTGCAATAGTTTTTTTCTAATATAAAAATCTCTTGTTCGAAACCAACATTCCTGTGCTCGCAGTTGTGCCCTCAAGACGAAACAAGAAACTGAAATGAAACAGCGGCCAGCTATAGTAACAGTCATAGCTGCAGCCTGGTGACTAAAACTCCTGTACACTCTTCTCTACTGTGAGAGATATGGATTTATGTCAGGATTTTGGGATTCGGAAGTGGCCGCAAAATAACATGAACACGTGAATAGGAAATTAGCTAGCAGTCCATGTTGCGAATTCTCCATAGCCAACGCAGAAATATGCATCATTTAAATCAGACCTCGATGGAAAACCCTAAAACACCTAACCTCACCTAAATCTCGTTACAGGTCACATTCGCAAACACGAGTCTATTGCTAAAGTAGCATAAAAAATCAATTCACAGTTTTAATGTGATTGACTATCTTAATACATTTAGTTATAACTATTTGTGAGGCTATACCTAGCGGGCATTACAGAAAAAAACATAAATATATGCTTTTATAAAAAATAAAAAAATAAAATGAGAACGCAGAAATGTTAGCAAGCTTGCGACATACAACATCAACGCAAGTTTATAGTCTCTTATGAATTTTTTTGAAGTAATTATGGAGAAATTGTTTTTAGTTAAAGATAACATGAATGTTGCTTCTAAATGTATATGTATGAGATGAAATAAAGATCTATTAATAATAGGCTTTTCTTTTTACTAAAAATTATGTCCCTTTTAAGATTTATTACTAGTTTTTTGAATTAGACAAATAATATAGATTAAGTATAAAATAATACTAAATTAGATTATTACATGTATTTTACAAGTCATTATAATGACTCTTTATTGTGTCCTCATAAATAAACATCATCATATAGGTAAGCATTTTTTCTAATGAAAAAGTCAAAAAGATAGATGTATTATTGAGAATTCTTTTAGAATTCTTTCAAAAAAAATTGTATTAAAATTTACAACAAATCTTCTTAGATGTGGTTATTTGTTATATCATGCTATTCCATCTCTTCAAAAGACAAGTCATTAACCAAGTAAAAACTTTCTTGTGGATGTTGCAAGAGTAAAATATGGTTCTTCATTTTCATAATAATTTAAAGATTTATTAATTTAACTTTGGATTTTTTTTCTTTTTTTTTTTTTTTTTTTTTTTGATAAATAAGATAACAAAATATCAATTATTGGAGATATATGTATTCTAAAATTAAGGATTTAATATAAAATTAAATCAATATTAGATTAATTAATAACTTAATTTCAAATAAGAAAATTAACATAATTTGTTCAATTTTTTTCAATGAATATGGTTATTTTCAATATTTTTATAAAATATATGCTAATAATGTTTTAAATAAATTTTAAAATATTTTTTCTTTGTAGTAAGGTAAAATTTAGCAATTTATAATAGATACAATATTATATGTTTTTTCTTGCTATGTTTTTCTTATCCTAATTCAATTCCAAGCTAACAAAGTTTCTTAGTAGTACTAATGTGTTGATTCTATTTAAATTATTGACAATAGCAACACTCAATCATATTTGTATTAATATTGATTTCTTTATAATGACATGGTTTTATTATATAGTAACATCTAAACTAAAGTATTGATGAGATAGAATCAAAGTTGGATTATGTGAATTGTTGAACAAAGGATGGCAAGTGCAACCTCTTTAGGTGTAAAAGCTACAATTAAGTTATTAATTGTATAAAGAGTTAGTAGTTGAATATTTTTATTTCTTATAATTTCAAAAGATTTGGCATTTTTTTTTTTTTTTTTTTTTTTTTTAATATTGTATGGTATCTATAAATATATCTTTTAATACTTAAATTCATTTTTTTTTTTAATTCTTTTATTTTGGTCAAATCATTCATTCTTTTTCTCAAACCTCAACTCAATTGAGCATGCCAAAATCCAAAGAGAATGTGGCCATGTACAATTATATTAGCCATCTAATTCCCCAAACCTCAACCCAATTGAGAATTGTTGGATGATTCTCAAACAACACCTTAGAAAACATTTCTTGCAAAGAGAAGAGACCTCATGATGCCCAACAATTGTTTGAAGCAACACAAGAAGAGTAGAACCTTATTGATCAAGGCACTATAGAGTAATGGATAAATGAGATGCCTACAAGATTGTAGGCAGTTCTCAATGCAAGTGGAGATCACACTTAGTGGTGGTGAAGCTTAGATGGTACTCTTGTGTAGTGAGCCTCACCAAAGCATTGTTTTTCATTTCTTCTTTCTTTATGACAATGACACATTCCTCTATTACTGTTATCATGTGGAAACAAGCATTTCTACATCACGATTGGCAATTTTTGCTACTTCCAACTTGTGTAAATAAAACATAAGTTTATATTAGACCTGGTGTGAAACTTTGATACGTAACAATGGATTTTTCACTCATTTCCAGATTGAGTGAAAACTAGGTAAACAGATTTAAAAGTGCAATGTCGTATACCAACTAAGAATAAGATTTGTCGACTCCGTCTGGCTACTTTTCTACGGATCTTTTGCTATGGATGTGGTTGCCTGAACACGATAAAAGGTTACCATATACGAGGAGAGAGAGAAAGAATATTGCAAATCGAGAAGCTCATACATTGCAATTCAATGCTCATCTGCAAACCAGGAACGTCCAGTAGTGTTGTATTAACCACATGCACTCTGGTCTGTGCGGTGCATGTTATTATGCGTGTCCAAATGCTTTCCCAAGGCTTTGTAAAACACCAAAGACCCAAGTGTCAGTCACTAAAATAATTTTGTGGCTGCTTTGGAAGGTCACAGTTTCTACCTACTACATGAGAAACCTAAACCTCTTCCAAACTACCAATTACATCCTCTCTACCTCTTTCTGTTGGGAATGGAGTATGTTCGCTCTACTTTGTCCCTCAAATACAACTGGCCTCGACAAATAAGAAACAGATTTCTGCTGGAGATGGGTTGTGCACTACTGACATTACAAAACCTTCCCATATATAGGCCTCACTGAAGTCTGAGTTGCACGAGCTGCCAACAGAAAAGATCATGCAACCTGGTTGTCTCCACCTAACATATAAACACATGAACAGATATTGAAACAACCAGCTGAAGTATGAACAGGGGCTCAAAAACTACAGGTGGATAAATCTCAGTCCAGAACTTTACTCCATGCTGCTGCTGCGGTCCAACCTATCCAGTGCTTGGAGGCCATACATTTGACGGATGTTCCCAGTGGCTGCACAGCACGGCTTCTGGTTTAGTATTGACATCCTAATTACAAGAGGTTCTGAGGTTGTGCAACAGTAACAAATTTGCAAGAAACTAATAAATAGATGTTTGCAGTACCAACTAGCCAATCGCGGAAATGCCCTTGAATAGCCGAAATTAGTTCCCGTTCCTTCCCATCCTCGAGTAATGCAGTCTTCAGATTTTGCTTCAAGGTTTCAGCTGCCTTACACTGCTCACACAGTTTAATCAAACACGGGATACATGACCTGTGATAATATCTTGATAAAATAAACAATGAAATAACAAGTACATTAGAGGAACAAGACCTTTTACATCATCAAATAGATTCCACTTACAAAAGAGAGAAATAGGCCTTACCCTGTGCTGTTGAGCAAGAAGATATGGCTTGGGCAATAAGAAGGGATTTGCCCGGGTAAGAAGCTGCTCAGAATCAGCTTCATTCCATTTGGGAACCTGTAAATGCCGAATTTTCTTTAAAAATTTAAAAATACAGAAGGTCGAATACAGCTCCAAACTGCTGAGCTGAAAAAGGTTACAAGGACACCATGATTTCTAGTATTTCCTCAGAAACTTCTAAACTTAAGTAATAATCCAACTCAGCACAGATGGAAGGGACAGCCGAAGAGGAGGACAAGTTCATTTATATTATCCCCAAATACAGGGGAAAAGATGCTATGAAAAGGACAACACTAAACAGGACACATTACAGTCGACTCTACAACCACTCAGAAGTATGAACCTACCGAAAATGTCACGAATTTCTCTGGTTGGAGCAGTGTTGCGCCCTCAGATTGAACATCCGTAGAGCCAGCAGGATGAATGAAGGCGTCGTGAGGATTTACCGTCCCTAAAGTAAGTATCCTGTCCCATTTATTCACTGTCGCATCAACCCCAACCTGTGCCAAGTGAGCTTCCAATTTTGGATAGAACGTATTGTATGGAGCCACCTGCATGAGACGGAAAGCAGGAGTTAAAATGTAATAAATTGTCAGATAGGACTTTACTCTCTGTAGATGAGACTGTGTGGTCAGTATTCTCTGTCTTGGCATGGAACACTGCAGTTTACTTAAATCAATCATCCAGTTACGACGAAGACAAGGGATGATTTTGCTTCGAATTCCAGAGAAATGCTGAGGATGCCCTTACCTGAAGTTTGTGATTATCCCCAGTGAACAATGGCCGTTGATTCACTCCAAGATAGAGAACACACTCACGGCAGTTAGCGATAGTTATACGAGCTGTTGGCACAATTATTTGAACTCTCTCGCAGTACTCCACTCTTACTGCCTGCACACATTTGAAATCGGAATTGGGATCAAGTCACTCCCTTACACTACACAGAGCGGCACTCATTCCTTGAGCCACATCAGGACTTCCGTTATGGCATCATCGTTAACCCCGAATGCTTTGCAAAACCATTCAGACAGCTAAAAGTTCCAGATAGAAGAGCATGGAATAAAGCGAGCAGATAATATGAGACTCACCTTTCCAACAGCTCCCAGTACAACAATGGAATCCGAACAGCCAAACACGGATACGTATTTCAGTGGTGCAAGTACATACACAACTGAATCATGGCAATGAGCCACCTGCAAAAAAACCACGAACATGTAGATCATTTAGCACATGCTCATTTAAACGCGCAACTTCAGATGTTTAAAGCAATGATACTCCAAACATCTGAAACATCAGGACTGTTCAAACAAGTTATGCTTAAAAAAATTATGCTTTCACCTTCACAGAATCCCCTTGGATGTCATCTTCTCTTTTCAATACGGATGCCTTCATGACCCCATCCACAAACGTCACACCCTCTGGTTGCCAATTATTAGACAAATGTACTACTCCATTCGGCACAAGAATAGTTCGGGCACTGGACGGTGTTGGACTAACAGGACCAGCTGTTGCGTCTGCCATAGTTACATCTGCAGCCTCAGAAGCCAAGCTCTCTGCAAGATTAACATCCATTACTTCCTTTTCGTCTTTTCCCAGAGAGGTCTCTCTTAGACTCTCTGAAGCAGCGCATATGTGCTGTTGAACCCATTCCAAAACTTGCCCTACAGGCACAGGAGCTGCTGGCATATCTGGATCTGAATTAGCGAAAAAGGGGGCTGCCTGACTCAAATTCACCAACTCTGATGCGGCGTTCTTTGCTTTCAGAAGTAGTCCTAGATGCTCGAACTGCTCAGCTGTGATAACCTGAGGGGATCAAACATCATGTGTGAGATATACTGGTAACTTTTGCTATTTTTACTCAACAACTTGGTCAAAATAGCTCGCCTACTCTTTCAGCAATGCACTAGTCAATATTGAGGGCCTTAAATTCCTAATCTTTTTCCAACATGGATACTTTTTGAGTGCAAAGATGCCTCTCTTAACATGTGGAAGGCTAATATCACACAAAAACTTATTTGACGGGTGAACATTAATTACCTTATTATTGCTGTTCTCTTCTGCTGTCTCTGCTAAAAGATTAAGAAGATTCGGCAAGTGTTTTTGCACGTACGTCAGCTGATTGACTTCCTCTTCTGCTTGGCTCGGCATTGACCGTCGAGACACTGTAGATGATCTAACCTGTCAAACGCCTCCAAATCTGAGAAATTGAGTTCTTGCAAGTCTAGAATCCTAATTCCTAAAATTCTCTTTCGCAAAACTTTGAGCCCAACGCGAGAACTACACGCCACTCAGCTTGTTACGATCTCTCGTCAACTAAGAATTGTACAAATTCCCGCGAGTAGACTAAGTTCCAAAGTTGCCCGTCTTAAACGTCAATAGAACTTACTTGAAGACTTGATAGCCACCGCTTGATTGACAACAAAAAAAGAAAAAAGAAAAAAAGCATGTGAGATGATTCGTCAAAAGGGTAGATGAGAACCTGTAGGGGGGACAAGGCAGGAAGAAATCCATCGATTGCGGAAGTGGAAGGCCAAACATCAGCGACGTCTGCAGCGTCTCGATGCGGTCGGGAAGGAACTCTTCGGTAAGTTTGAATATACAAAAATATCAGTAGATCATCGACATCGGCACCTACGGAATCGATTTCAGTCACCGGGGTAGTTGCCAGGAGATCCACGGCTTCTCCCCCATCATTCAAAACAGACGCTAGGGTGTCAAGCACCAAATGAGCATGCGCCTCCGTAACCTCCAACGCTGCCGCTATGCCTTCTGTACCCACTCGTTTTCTATCCCCCGAAGCTGGAACGGTATACGAAGCATTGGAATTGATGCTCAAAGCCCATGTTGAAATAGGAGGAGCCTCCTGAAACAACTTGACACGGAGGTTCTTCAATCCAGAGACAACATCACTATGCAAAAGGTTTGGCAGTGGCAGTATGCCATACTCAAACGCCTCCCGCCGCACATGAAGGCACGGTTCTGTGTTCTTGCTTGACGCTGACCCAACGCTCATCTTTTCCTCTTGCCTTCGCTTTTCACCTCCCTTTTCACTACCTTACTCAAACTATCAACTAACTAAAGCCTGCAACAAGCCAAGACCTAGTCCAGCACACGTGAGAATGGCCACCGATCCTGATAGAAATATATGCTAACAACTGTTCATCCCACTGAATCATACAAGCTCTGGACAGCAGTTGCACATTCTCATGACGCTTGCAAATAGCACGACGCAAAATCATTGACAAAGACGATACATATGATGATCGCTTTAATACGGAGTACAAATCCCTACTTTTGTTTACAGAAAACAAGGTCACTCATTTATAAAATCGATCCAATGTCTGCATATCGATTTCTTCTCCTGCGCCATGAATTTAAGGATCAAGAAAAGTACAACCACATAGAACTTCAGCATACTAGTCAAGCCACTTCTCGGATTCGACCACTCAAAACCACCAAGATCGCACTTCTCAAAAAATTAAACTAGACACAGTGTTGGCTCCAGCTAAACGGTCTACAATGGTGGAGATAGCACCTCTAACAGACCGGAAAAGTTCGAGACGAAGAGGTAGTGCACACATGAATCGAAATTCCTACCATGAGGCATAATGAGACCCCGATCAGACCTCGTCCACATTCCCGTTCTTTGTCATTTACCACGTCAATGTCAACATTCAAAGCGGTGAACTCTTACGATTTCGACCGAGTCACAAATTCAAAGAAGAGTCCCGACACTTACGTGATTAAAGACACGTGCGCAATACTCTCTCCCACGACGCACTACTCCTGTCACCTGCAGCTTTTCTCGCAACCTAACCCTAAAAGCAGTTACTCAAGCCCAGTGTGGTCTGCGAGGTTCATCGTCGCATCGCCAGTCCGCAACCAAAAACCATGCTTCGTGCACTCCGCTACCTGTCCGAACATACTCACCCACTCTCGGCCTCCCTCAGCAAAGTATAACCCTACAACTTCATCTGCACGCCAAGATCCATCCCTCCGCGGCAACCCACTACTCTCCGACCTCGTACCACTCTCCCTCGAAACTGCATCCCCACCCGGGCCTCCAAAACCCACAGTCCATGTGTACACACACACACCAACCAGCACGCCCTCCCAAAACACTCCCAAACCCACAATGAAAACAGGATAACAACCTCCAAGCTTCCCAACAACTCACGCCACAGGGACGCGATCACATAAAACCAGAAATGTCACAATCTAGGGAAAGATCGAGAAAGGGGCGAAACCAGAAAGAGAGAGAGAGTCGGGGAATGTAACCCCAACAGTTTGCTTGTCCCCTGGAGCACCGAGGAACCAAAGACGGAGTCAGGAAAAACGGAGCGAAGGACGACGAGGATGATAGCCTTCCCTTTCGATGATAGATAGATTGCAACCGAGATGGAAACGGGGAGACAAACGCCGCAGCCACGCAGGCAGGTTGGGGGGGGGGGGGTGGAGAATTATTCTTCTTTTTCGTCAAATCCCGCAACAACTGGATTAAGATGGTTATGAGCAGGCCACTTTAAATTAGGGAATACCCTGAAATACCTAGTGTAGCAGAGACACTTCATTTTAGGTGAATTGGAGATGGATGAAAGTTGGCAACAAAAGTGTCCAAAAGCATCCATATCCATCAAATTCGACAAATGCTTTGAGTGCAAAATACTCTTGACTGAGAAGTTGGTAAGGCATTGGTGATACTTATATTTCTCCCACCCAATCACAAAGAAGTTAGATTCAATTGTGCTCATACTAGCAAAGATGGACACCAAATTGCCATAGAACCATTGAAGCTATGAAAAATGGCCATTACAATGAGCCCATCTCACCTTCTATTATGTTTGTGAATTGCTACACTTGTCATTGATGGCCTTGAAGGCACTTTCTTTGCAGTAGGTGCATACTATTGCTCTATGGTTGTTTTTAATTGCCTGAGCATCCCACCTAGCCAACTCCAACCACATCTTATGGCAACAAATTGATATGCTTAAATAAGATTTATGTAGATGACAAAGATCTGTCAACGACATGAAGCTCAAAGAAAGAAATCATCAATGCACTCTTGTGTCACTCATAAAAACTAGAAAGTCATTCAAAGATAATATAGTATTAAACTAGAATAGCTATTTCCAAAGACAAGAAGATTAAAAAGTCTTGAAATAAGACTAAGGGCTAGAAAGGTGTTGACAAAAGTAAAGAATGCTTCACTCTTGCCTCCATATATACTTTTAATTAGGAGCTACATGGTAGTGTCCTATAAGACTTCCAAAACGTGTTGATTTTGCAAGACAAATATTTTAACTTACAAGGCAAGTTTTTTATGTGTGTGCCACATAGTTAGCTTGTTCTGCAACCTATCAACATGTGGTTAACTTATTGAGTAAGTTTTTAACTTATTAATCAACTACAAACATATGTAAAGTCAAAGCTTCTCTATAAAATATTATGAAATAAATCTACTTTTATAAAATCTATTTAATCATATAAATAAACTCTAAAGTAAATATGTATGTCTGTGTCAAAATTGGGAAGCATGATTTTGAAAATATAATTATCATTAGCATTGTTGATTCAATCATATTGGATAACAATGGTAAAATATTATTGATAAGACCAACGAATAAACTTGCTACAAAATAAACCACATATTCATTATCTTTTATAAGCAGCGCATCCAATAAGCTCATGACAAAACTTCATTGGTTTAAAATATTGGCATGTGCATTAGTAAGAGCCATAAAGAAGGATTTACAAATGGCATTGAAGGTGCTATCATATTAGACAAGACTTATAATACTATGCAGACTTTTGTTAAGGACCATATACAAGATAAAGATTCAAGACCAAGAAATGGAGTTAGCTCAACATTAAAACAATAATTACATATAAGGCAAGAAGGTCCTAGTTAGATCACAAGAAGTGAGTTATCGAGACTGAAGATCCCTTCAACCTTGACTCCTATATATATTAGTTTCTAAGAAGCTTCTTGAAAAGTTTTTATGAAGCTTGGGAACAAAGCAAGCTTAAGATCCTTCTTCGGCAACTTCCTAAATCATCTAAAACCTCCTAGAACATTCTAGAACTTTCTTAGAATCTATTGGAACCTTCTGGAACATCTTAGATCTTTTTAAGATCCTTCTTAGAACCTACTAGGATCTTCTGGAAGATTCTTCAGTTGTATGTCCATGACATCACCTCCTCTTTTAGCTTTAAGGTCTCCAACAAGTAATATTGCAGCAAATTAGTATATGTGCAAGAAGTTGAAGATCTGTTGCATGGTGTCCACTATATATTCCAATTATTTTTCATGAGATAAATGGTTCATAGGGCCTTGTAGTTAATGATAGTATTCTAAGCCTTCTATTTGTGACTAAGCATGAACTTTAATATCTTCATTATGGTATTGTCTTGCAAACGCTTTTTTTGGATGTCCTTCATAGGCAGATTCTACCTCAAACACAATTATCAATGACTTATTACAAGGTATCCTTTGACATCTTTGTGGTTCAAGTGGCTCTTCATCTCGTAGTTGTTTCCATGAGCTACTTTGTTGAGATGATATGACCAATAGGATATTTATTTTTTGACTATCCATATCATATAAAATAGACAAGATTAAAAGAATATAAATAGGCTTTGGTCGTGAATTCAAACTATTGACTTATACTGTTCTAATCATTTGACAACAACTGTCTCTTTAGAGGTTGCTTCTTCTCCTTCTTTATAAGGCCAAGAACTAAGAATCTTCATAATGAAGCTATCTTACTAAGCTACTATTCTTCATTTTATCGCTTTTGATCTAGATGGATGTTATTGATAGAACCTTTGAACCTTCATTTATGCATTTACAAGGTTGCGAGATGATTCCCACGTGCGATTGTTGATATCATATCTACGCTAATAGACCAGATATTCAAGCCTTCCATGTCTTATCCTTGAATCTAATACCTCTTCTACCTCAAATTCAACATGATCATTGATTTCAACCATAAGAGGTGGTGGTTGTCTTCAACCTAGTATGTTCGATTCTTTATACCTTTCCAAAAGTGAAACATAAAAGATTAGATAAATCTTTAGGATGAAGGTAATTCCAAGTAATAAGTTATATAATTAATTTGTTTCTAAATCACAAATGGTTCCAACCTTTAGTAGTCCAAGTTAATACATGGCATGTTGGTTTTTATATTGTGCCAAAGAAGCCATACTTTGTCACCAACTTGGAATAGAGAATGTTCCTTCTCCAATTTATCCTCCATTAACTTATAACGTTGTTGAGCCCTTTTTAGGTGAGTCTTCATAGTTGCTTGAAGTTCAGTCATCTTTGTAGCAAACTTCTTTGCTGCTAGATTTGCCAACTTTGAAGGCTCTATCATATCCAACTTTGAATAATGACTATAGTTTGAGTAGAATGATATTTGCTACGTAGATACATGGATTGTATTATTATATGCAAATTCTACCAACAACAAGTAGGAAGTCCAATCATCTTGTTGATAGTTGATGGTGCACCTCAAATATTGTATAAGAATTTGGTTGACCCACTCCGTTTGGCCATCAATTTGAAGATGGAAGAAAGAGGAAAGGTTGATCTCAACCTTAAGTACGTTCAAAAGTGCCTTCCCAAATCTTGATACAAATTGTGGCCAACGATCCAACACAATGTTGTTTGCTAATCTGTTGTCGTATTACGTGAAATCTTGATTGAGAATGCACCGAGCACTTGGTTATGGAAGATAAAAGAAAATTGCAACAAAGAATCCTAACAATCCAATAGGATTATAGAGAATTTATAATTAAACGTTAGCAATCATAATCAAGCATTAAGCAAGCTCAATTAAATTTTATTGAAGTTATAAAAGAAACACAAGAAAATCCTAAAGAAATATAAAAGAATATTAAAGGAAACTTAGTCAAATCCTAACAAAAATCTAATAGAACCTTAAATTCTAACCAAATCCTAATCCTAATCCAACCTTAATCAAATCCTAGACAAACCCTAAATCCTAAATCAAATCCTAATCAAACCTTAATCCCTAACCAAATCCTAATCCAAATCCTAAATCCAAAACTAAATCCTATCTAAATCCTAAATCCTAAACCAAATCCTAATCCAAACCCTAAATCCTAAACCAAACCCTAAACCCTAAATCAAACCCTAATCAAATATTAATCCCCAACCAAACTCTAATCATTCCTACAACAGATTTAAACCTCAATAACTAATGAATAAACCGTTGATCTTAACTAAAAATTTGCATACTTCTAAAACAATAAGTTAAAAACAAATACAAAAAATTTGATAAGGATCGGAGTTACCAAATTGACGATATCCTCAAAAATGTGCTTGGGTATTGGCCGGCCTCCTTCTCCAATCTTAATGCCAATCTTCCACAACCAATATCTCTCCTTTGCACCTTTCAATTGATTTCAAAATTCTCATACGTATAGAAAAACAAGTCTAATATCCTCTCACATAAGTTTCACTCCAATCCAACTAATAGATTCCAAGAAATCTCAAAAACCCCCGCTAGACCTAAAATTCTACTTTCTAAGATCTTGACACTCTTAAACCTCAATATCCCTCAATTCAACCGTTAGATCAAGCTCAAATTCATGATACATATTAAACACAAATATAACCATAAACCCACAAAATTTCACACTTAGATCTACTACAAAACTCTTGAAATCATCCAAAACGTAAACCCTATTTTATTTCATAAAATCCAAATCATCCGAAACAAACCTCAACTTTGCAAAGCTCTTACAAAGTCATATCAACTCCAAATCACCCAAAATTAATGTTCATAGAAAACCTATTTAGTCTGCTATCAAACCTCATTCTCCGATCTCCAAAAGAACCCCGGAGTCGTCGTCGAGA